CTGGCCGCCCCAGCCGCTGCCCAACTGGAGGGGGGCGCACTGGGCCCAGGCCCGGCCCCCGCCGCTGCCTGGTGCTGGGCAAAGGGGGGACGTACGGGCTGCCCGCCCCCCCTCCCTCGTAAGGGATCCGGGCCTCGGTGCACACCAGCACCCGCTGTGGGGCGTGCAGGCCTAGGAGCTCTGGCTTCTGGGCCCTGTAGCGGTACCCTAGGCGAGTTTGGGGGACGAGGGCACTGGGTCTCAGGCCTTACTGCCCACGCCCCTTCCCTCCCACGGTCTGTGCTGACCTCTTGGGGCCATGACACAGATCCAGCCAGACCGGGGCTACAGGCTATACCAGACTCCTTGTATTCTGACAGCCTTCCAGGGTCCCTGTCCTGCCTTGACTACTCCTTAGCTGCTCTGTGCCTCAGTTTCCACATCTGTAGACCGGGATAGTCAACAGCCGCTGTCAAGCATTATGCTGTCAGGGGTTCCCCGGTTGGAATGGGTACATGTGGTCACCCTTCAGATGGATTCAAAAGCTACCCCCCTCCTCACCCCTGGCCCATATGCCTGTGCATCTGTGTGTGTGTGTGTGTGTGTGTGTGTGTGTGTGCCTGTTTGTGACAGGACCCTCCACCATCCTCACAAGAACGGGAGCAAGATCGCTGGCCTAGCTTCCTGGTGGATCCTCCTTTGGGTCCTCCCTGCTGAGGACAGGTCCTGAGGGCTGCCAGGACACCCAGAGACACCCCCACCCTCACCCCCCTCACCTACGTGCAGGAGAGAGGAAGAGGTTCCGGCAGATCTTCTAGAGAGGGTGCTATCAGAGTTAGGGCAGAGGAGATGGCAGTGGACAGTCCACGCAGCACAAGACAGGGCTGGGGCACAGGATGGCAGCAGGTATAGCTGGAGGGGAGAACCTGAGGGGGTCCCTGAATCCTCATGCCAGCCCTGCAGGGAAGGGAACTGCTTCTTTTGTTTGGCAGATGAAGAAACAGAGGCACCAGCGTGGTCAGCATTGGCTGCAATGCAACCAAGTGGAGCTGGCATCCCTGTCACCGGTCAGGGGCTTTCCCCCTGGGCGGGCAGCATTTCGTCCCCTGGAGAATCAGTACTAGTGTCTTCAGAATCTCAGAGGCCACACAGAGCAGGAAATGAGGAGGGAGGGAAGGCTGCCACAGAGTGTCAGAGACCAGGGAGAGGGTCGTGGGACACCGAAGCCAGGGCTGGCAAGGAGCTGGGCAAGGACGTGGTGGCTTACAGGGGCCCAGGTGTCCAGCTTCACCAAGGTGGGATGGGAACCAGGGTGGCTGACTCAGGTGTGCATTAGGGAGGGAGGCAGGGGACCAGTGGCAACATAATTCTCATCGGGAACAGCAGCTGCCATCCGGGGCCCTGACTGAGTGCCTACCAGCCCTCCCTGAATCCTGCAGGACGAAGCTGCCATCGGAGAAACGATCCCATCAAAGAAGCGCCGACGGTCAACGTGCCTGAAGGGTCCTTCTGTGGCCGGATGGCCATCTTCCCCTGTTTGGCCAGAACATTCCCAGATCATGCCTATTGTCTCAGCCTGGTATTAATAGCACTTCCTTTCTCTCTCAAACGTGACCTGGCTAGACAATAAATTAGACGTCACTCTAGTCCGGCCCCAGGAGTAGTTGCCAAAAGAAGCCGTTTTATGAGACCTTGAAAGTTCTGAGCCCAAAGCCTGGCCTTTCTGATTCTCTGCTGTGTGATGGTGGGCCAGACGCTGGGCCTCTCTGAGCCTCGGCATACAAGTCCAGCATGGGCACTGACTGCTTGCAGGAGGGTTGTGAGCCCCAGAAAGATGGCTCCGAAAGCAGCCCTGATGGAGGAGGTCACAGCCTGCAGTGGCCTCGCTGTCCCTCTCCACCCTGGGTCCTGGGAGGTGGCCCCGGGGAGGGGAGGGACACCTAGTGGTTGAGAAGCTACTTGCTGTGTGGCAGCCAGTCTCTTCTCTGCCGGCTCACTGGATCCACACCAACTGTGGAAGCCAGGAAGTCTTTCCCCCAATTTACAGATGGGTAAACTAAGGCCCAGAGGAGCTCTTGCCCCTCAGTCACAGCCTATCCTCAGGGGGAAGTTCCTCCCCATGTAGACTCCATGTCTGCCTCTGACTCCACTACTGATTAAAAGGTACAGCTCTGTTCTTCCTTCTGAGAAATGGGGCAGTCCCCCACCCTATCCCTGGTAGGGTGCAGGGATGGGTAGTCTCCATTCCCCAAGTCCCTCCGGGGTCCTTCTTTCTGCTGCCTTGCTGGGAGGTTATATCCAGGAGTGCAGGGGTTAATGCTGGCCGCTCTCTGTAATCACCGTGCAGAATGCAGAACCAATGCCTCCCAGCTGGAGACGAGGGGTGCTAGGTGGGACTGGCTGCCCGGAGTCCAAAAACTTCCATCTTCCCCCAGTCTTGGGGGAAGAAGGCCCCTTAAGCCCTCCACTCAGCCTTGCTTGCAGCCGGGGTGGGCCCAGGCCGGGCCCGACCGGAAGAAGCCTTTGGAGCCAGGGCTCTGCCGCCAAGCCAGGCGGCGCTACAGAGGATGCCAGCGGTTGCCCACCAGGCTCCAGTGAGGTCTGGAGTGCGAGCCTCTGGTAAACTGGTTGGCTTGGCCACATCTATCAGCCCTACCCCAGCCCCTCCCGAGGGAGGATGCACTCTTTCCTCCCCAAGTTGGGCTGAATTCTGGTCAGTTTAGGCAATGGTTCACTGGCTCATTGATTGACCTTCCTGGTCCTATTTCTCTTGTGTCCTTCCACGCATCTGGGCACTTGCCAATCCATCAGTCCACCCACTGCTCACTCCTCTATCCATCCATCTACCTCCTCCACCTACCTACCCCCTGACCCGCCCATTTGCCTACACGCCTACCCACCCATCCATACACCCACGGCTCTCTCCCCATCCAAACATCCATCCATCCATCCATCCATCCATCCATCCATCCATCCATCCATCCATCCTTCCTTCGCCATGGTCTACCCACTTACCCATCCAATACCTACACCTCTATCCACCCATCTATCCACCCATTGCGCTCTCTCTCCATCCATCCATCCAATCATCCATCCTTCTCCATAGCCTACCCACTTACTCGTCCAATACCTACACCTCTATTCATCCATCCAACCATCCACCCACTGCTCGCTCTCTATCCATCCATCCATCCTCCCTAGTTTACCCACTTACCCATCCAATACCTACAGCTCTAAACATCCATCCATCCATCTATGCTTCTCCACTTACCCATTGACCCATCCACCCACTACCTATACCCCTACTTGTTCATCCATCCACCCACTGCTCATGCCCTTACCCATCCCTCCATCCTTCTCCATGGTCTACCCATGGACCCATGCGTGTGTTGACCTTGGCTCCTCTCTCTTCCTGCTGCCACCCACCCTTCCACCTACCCACTTGTCCACTGCTATCCATTTATCTTCTTCTGTCTCTACTCACCTGCTCTGTCCATACATGTTCCCTTGACCCATGGCCCACGCCCACACCCTTCTGCCCACCTACATATGCATCCATCCACTGTCCCAAATCACTCCCCTGCCCCTTCATTTCCCTTTCCATCCTACTATTCCTCTGACAGCCACTCACCTGGCCTCTGCCCACAAGGCCCGGGAGCTCATCCCGCAGAGCCCACTCACAGGTGTGTGCCTCCCTGCCCTCCAACAGAGAGACATCCTTGGGCAAAGCATCCTCCCAGTCTGGTCAGTCCCAGAACTGGGACCTACTCCCTATGTGAGGGCAACATGTGGGTGACGTCCGTGCCTGTGCCTGACACCTGACCCATTTGGGGGATACGAGTTTTCATTCGAAGGACAGCTTGGTCCCCACAAGTGGGCTGCAACCACCACCAAACCAGGACCTCTCCTCCTGGGACCACTCTAGGGATACTGGCCTGTGCTGGACTCCTCCCTGACCCACGTGACGCTGGTGGGGAGGGAGGTAGGCCAAGACCGGGCTTTCTGAGAGGTCGTGGTGCTGCAATAGCTGCCCTTGGGGATCCCAGATGGGTTTCCCAGGTGCACTGGCAGTGGGGTCGGGGCTGGATCCTCTCGACACTATAAACACACATAGGGCCCTGTCTGTCTGCATGCAGTCCAAGCCACCGTGGGGTGAGAATGGGGGGCAGATGTGGCAGCGAAAGAGAACAGAATGTAATGGCGGAGAGGAGCAAGGTGTCTACGTGTGTGTTGTGTGTGAGTGTGTGTGTGTACAGGGAGACAGGTAAGGGGTGGAGTGGTGATGGGGGTGACTGAGCCGGATCAGGACAAGGACCCTCCATTGATGAAATAGGAGCATCTCACTCCCTGACCACCTACTGCTCACCGGACATTGCCCAAAGCACGTTTCCACTTTAGACAAGCTGCGGCCAGATCCCAGCTTTGCCTCTCGCCGGCAGGATGGCCTTGGGTAAGTCCTCGGAGGCCTGAGCCTCGGTGACGCTGTCTCTTAGGAGCCGGAAGCCGCTGGACCTGTGGGTGATGGACAGGGAGAGGTAGCTATTGTTAGTGCGACTATTGTTTCAGCTTTCCTCTCCCCAGAGGGCAATTTCGTTCAGCGCGTGTGCACACACACACACACACACAGAGCCAGTACCTGTGCGGGACCAGGGCGTGGGCTCAGAGCTTTGTGGGGGGATGGTGATGAGTAAGGGAACCTTCTCCCGAGAGCATTATAGTGGTGGGGACGGGGTGGGGGAGGCTTGGAGACAGGGGACAGCTATCACTGGGTAGCCCAGCCCAGTATCACGCAGTCAATTCAGAATCATGATTGACCCCGAGCGCTATCACAGTAGAACTCTGCACTGTAGCATTTTGTTCGAAAGATGGTACTTTGGGAGTTTGCCAGGCCTTTCTTCTGAGGTGCCTGTGCCCAACAAACACCAAACCCACTACCATCGAGTGGGTTCTGACTCACAGCGACTCCACAGGACAGAGTAGAATGGTTCCTCTGGGTTTCTGAGACTGTACCTCTTTAGGGGAACAGACTGCCTCCTCTTTCTCCTCAGGAATGGCTAGTGAGTTTGGGGTGTTCACCTCGGGATGAGGCCCACAGTGCTTAGCCCACTGCATCATCAAGCCTCCTTGTCTTTCAGGAAGAAGGATCAGCAGTCCAAGGGGCCAGGGAGGACGTCCACTGGAGAAGGTGGCATTGGGGCCTGGCATCTTGGAGGCACGGGAGAAGGCCGGAGCTGGCCCACAAGAGGCTGAGTGCCCTGGTGTCAGGACTCAGGGGGATTGGGGAAGAGGGAGGCCTTGAATGCCTTCGGGAGGGAGGGCCAGTGGGCTAGGAGGACCTTCTGTGGCATCTACTGGCCTGGGACCCTAGTAATGGCTGCCCTCAGGAATGCTAGCCCTAGGGGCAAACCCGGATGCTGGGTAGGCTTTGGGAGCAGCAGAGGGCCCGGGCAGCCTGACCTCACGTTTTCGTGTTTTCTCGCTTGCCTGGAAGACAGGACTGTGCACGCAGAGACCCCCCAGGCATCAGACCCTCCCCCAAGGCCCTCCCGCACCAGAGCTTCCAAAGGGCAACTGTGGGGGTCAGGGGGAGGGTTGCTCGGGGAAGTTAGGCTGAGGCTGGGCATCCATGCTGCCTTCCCTGTGACTGAACATGCTCGGAGTGCCTGCCGTGTGTCTGCATTAGGGACACGGCAGCCTCACAGACCACTGGGCAGTACGTCCAGGAAGCCTGCCTGGATGAGGTGGGCTGAGTTTCTCCACAGAGCGCTGGGGTCTAGGGGTGTCAGGGTGACATGGGTGTCACTGGTGGGTGAGATTACTGAGACCCTGAGGGGAGGGGGCAGGGGTGTATGTGGATTTGGGGGGGGCGGGGAGAGCTAGGGACTAGGTGATGGTGGACCAGTTTGTGACTGCCTGGGTGTGAGCAGGTTCTGGGTCTGGTCAGATTGGAAGTTAAGCCTCAGAGTGTTCTGGAGGGAGTGGTGGCCAGGCCACAGGGAGAATTTGTCTCCGGAGACAGCTGTCTGGGGCCGGAAACGCCTCTGGAATTTCAGGCACTGGGAAAAGATCCCGTGGAAGCGATTTCTCAGGCACAGCCTTCTAGGCCAGCTTAGCTCCCCTCCCGTTGGTTGGTTCCTTGTCCCCCCAACCCCCAGCCCTCCCCCAGCTCTGCAAGGAAATGGGGATGGGAAGGTTTCCCCACCCCATGGGCTCCCTTTCTCCTGGAGAACAGGACAAGACATTAGACAGAGGCTGAGGAAGGATGTGAGGGCAGTTCCTCCCAGCCCCCCTGCCGGGGGACAGACGGATGGGTGGACAGCATGGGGCATGGAGCTCAGAGGCGCCTGTAGCGGTGGGAGGTGGGGAGAGATGGCCAAGGGGTCAGGGTTGGTGACCCTATCATGTCAGAGACCAGGGGTGGGTGGGCTTTCCCCACATGTGCCTGTCTAGAGGGGCCTTGGGGAGAGGGTCTCCCAGGAGATCTTTGTTCTCAGGGTGGGAGGGGGCAGGAGGGGGATGGGGGTGGACAGGAAAAGTGTGCAGAGAGCCGAAACAATGCTCTATTCTCTGAGGTCCAGCCTGGCCCGAGAGATAGGCCAAGGGCTGGAGGCCAGCCTTTCTGATGACCGTCTCCAGCCTGCCCGAGGGGCTCTTGTGATCCTGAGTTTGTGAGTGTGTGTGTGTGTGTGTGTGTTCCTTTCTAATTGCTCCCTCCGCCCCCAACCACAGCTCATTCCTGAACACACAGCTCCGTCTGTCCGTCCCGACAAAAGCCAGCCTGCGTCGGTAGGTGCAGGGCTGCCCCTTTCTGCCTTTGTGTGGTGGAGGCCCAGAGAGGGAAAGCATCGTGCCCACATCACACAGCCTGCGGGTTGTAGAGCTGAGAGTCAAGCCGGGATCCGCACCTGAGGTTCATCCATGACCCCCACCTCTCCCGCGTCTTTGAGGCTGTGCGTGTGAGCCGGTTCAGACTCCTCGGGACCCACCCTGGAAAGGAGAGGGGCTGCCCAGGCTGCCGTCTTCACAGGAAAAAGGATCGCCAGGTCTTTTCTCCCGTGGGGCCCCTGGTGGGGTCGAACCACCGGCCTGGTGAGCAGCCAGTGCTTCACCATGGCACCCTGTGGGCTCCTTTCCTGCCTCTGAGCCCCTCTCCCGTCTCGCTGTCCTGCACTGACCATTAGAGTCAGATTACCCATGAGCTGGGAAGAGCCGGGACAGAGCCCCCCTGAGGAGTGAGACACACACTGGGCCGGGGGTTTGCCTTGAAACCTCACACTTCCATTGTACAGAGGAGGAAACTGAGGCCCAAGAGACCTCCTCAAGAGCTCAGATTTGGGGGCGCATCCCTGAGCCCTGCTCCCCGGAGGGCGAAGGCTCTGAGACCACCCACGGAGGGGGTGATGATTCTCTCTTGGTCTCAGAGTTTGGGAGGGAACCTCACTTGCTGTCCAGGTAGAACTCGGGTGCAAGCTGCTCGGACTTTGAGCAAGTTCCTCAGCCTCCCCCCACCCAAACCTCAGTCTTCTCATCCATGCAACGGGAGCAATGATGTTTGCGATCAAAGCAGATGGCTGGGGCAGACGCTTCACAAACTTGAGGGTGTGGGTGTGGGGGGGGAGAGGGGCATCACTGCAGAGGTTCAGGCTCCTTGTACTTTGCTGAGCTGTGCCATGCACTGAAGGGTCACACCCCCGCAAGCAGGGCGAGGCTACTGCTTTTGAACCTAGGAGGCTGCACCCTCCAGCCGGCAGAGGCAGGACACCGTGGTTCCTCTGGTTGTGTGTGCAGACACCGAGAGCCCTCCTGGCAACATCCTGGCAGGTGGGATGGGGAGCCGGGCCAAAAAAGTGAAGTCCCCTGAGGTCCCAAAGCCCCTTTCTGCTGTTGGTGGCTGATCGATGAATTGCGATCAGGTTGTTCTCTGCAGGGGTTAACTGGGCTGACGATTGCCCAGACCGGGGTGGGGGAGTCCCACGGAGAAGGGCAGGGTTGGGGAGTGGGCAGGCCCATCAGGAATCCACCTTGGTGGGCAGCTTGAGCCCCGGCCAGCCTCTTGTTGACTCAGCCGGCTACTCAGTTGCCAAGGCCTGCTGGCCCAAGCGCCCACAGGGAGGATCCAGCCACATTCTTCTTGGCTGGAGCCTGGGGTGGGTGGTGGGGGTGGTGGCTGGCACCTCCTGGTGGAGGCTGTGTGCTGAAGAGGAGCTTGCTGGTGTGTGGGTACTGGGCAAGAAGCTGCGGTGGGGCTTGGAAGTGGTTTTTTGGGGGGTGGGTCACAGCTGGGCACCCAAGGGGCCACCATGGGGTGGATGGACCAGCCTGGGAACTGGCCTACTTGGGGGTGCAGTTTAGCTCAGTCAGTAATGAGCCAGGTGATCTCAGACACTCGCTAGCCAGCCCTGCCCCACCTCAGTTGCCTTACCCAGCAAATGGGTACAAAGATAATACCCCCTGCCTACCCAGCCTCACAGAGCATGGGAGGATCAAAGGAGCAAACAGAGGAGAACACCCTTTGTAGTTCAAGGGCCCACACACGTGGCTGCCGACTGGCCAGGCACTCTGGAGGTGGAGTGGTTGATGTGTGTGTGTGTGTGGGGGGGGGTGCGGTTGGCAACACGGGCAGCACTCTCCTGGCAGGAGCCAGCCTCCCTCTGCCCAGAACACACCTCTGCCATCCAGGCGGGCCTGCCTGCTCAGGTCAAGCCTCACCAACCCAGAAACCTACCTGGACCATCACAGATATGCCCTCCTCCTTGCTGCCAGCCCCCCCCACCCAATCCCCCCGGTGCTTTGTGGCTTCCCTGACCTGCTCACAAGAGGGACCATCCACCCCTCAAAGGCCTCAGACCTGGGAAGGTAGGCCCAGTGCCTGTCTAATCCACCCCTGTGGCCCTGACATGTTGCCCCCCTGTTGGCTCTGTTGTCTCCATTGCCAAGGGGAGGCGGCTGAGACTCAGAGAGGTCAAGCAACTTGCCCAGGCCACCCAGCAGAAAGCCCCCTCACAATGGCCCTGTCACGTCCTCTGCTGGCCCCACTTCCTTGGACAGCTGGTCTTCCTCCTCCGTGTCCCTGCCCCTCTTCCTGACACAGGCTGGCGCTGGCTGGATGGCTATTGGTTGGCAAGTGGGGGATAAAAAAGCCACCAGGGAATGATTCTGCCTGATAAAACCCCTGGTTGCTGGCCTAGTGGCCACGACCCCTCAGCCCAAGTGTGGGGGAATGTTCCAGAGGCATCCCTACCCTGCTCCAGCAGGCAGGCTGGCTGGCTGGCTACCCTCCATGGCAGCTGCAAGGTGGCCGGATGCCCCATCTCCTGCGCCTCCAGGCCCTGGGCCGAGCGCTCAGCCTCAGGGCCCAGCTGTGGCTGGCACTGCTCCTGGGTTCTGGGCGGGTACACCACAGGGGCTTTAAAAATAAAGGGCCTTGAGACAGTGGTCTGGCACAACTGTGCCAGGGTGGGGGCCAGACAGGGATAATAGGAGGGGCTGCTGAGGCTGGGGGCTGCCTGTACCCCTGTGACTCTGGGTGTGTGTGTGTGTGCCTGCTTGTTGCTCCCAACCATGCTGCTACCCCAAGAACACCCCACCCTGACCTCATCCAAACATGAAAAACCACACCCACAGTTGATGTCAACTCAGCGTCCTTACACGATAGGTAGAACTGGCCCCCGAGTTCCCGAATCTTTACAGGAGCCGCAAGCTCCATCTTCCTCCCTGGGAGCAGCCGGTCGCTTCAAATTGCTGACCCTTCAGTTAGCAGCCCAATGGATAACCGGGACGCCTCAGCCTAAATCTACGGAACGCCTCAGCCTAAATCTACAGAGCACCTACTATGTGCCAGTAGGAAGCCGCTCCTCAGGAGAAAGACGAGACCCTCTAGTCTCCTAGGGTTAGTCTCAGAAACCCACAGGGGCAGGGCGACCCTGTGCTGGAGGGTCCCTGTGAGTCAGCTTCCACGGGAGGCCAGCTCCCTGTGTCAGGAATAGCTGTTCTCCCGGGGGCCCCACCTCCCCTTACCCAACCTCAGGCCGCAAGCTATTTCCTCAGTGCCTCCCAAGTCCCGGGCCTGCTCCGGCCGGCCTCTCCCCCATCCCGTCCCAGCCCTGCTGTCTCCCTCTCTCCCTTCTGGCCCAGCTAACAGGAAACGAAGCCCAGGAGGTCACAGGCCCCGGGGCCTCTGGTCCAGTGCAGTGTCTGCAGCAAGGAGGGGGGTTTCCTGTTTATGAGAAGCACATAGACCCCCAGGGCGGGGCCGGGACAGGCCTCCCAGGGCAGCCTCTGAGTCTGGACGCCTGACCCACTCCGAGCTGAGAGGCTCTCCCACACCCCAACAGCCCCCACAGGCTCAAGGCAGTGGCTCTGCCCCAATGGGGGGTGGATGGGGAGGGAGGAGGGAGGAGTCTTGGGAATGGTTAGGAATGTGGGAGTTAAATGTCCGTAGGAAGCCACCGCAGTTCTATTGCTGTCCCCCCCTTGCAAGTCTGGGTGCCCTACCGGCCTCCTCATACACCCCCCCACCCCCGCCGGGACACTCCCCCTGCTTACATGGGGGAGGAGGGTCTGAAGGGAACCGGAAAGAGATGACCGGATCCCTTCCTGTCTGCCTCGGCCTCAGTTTCTCCATCCACCTGGTGGGGAGACTACCAGCCTAGCTCCTTGGTGCCCCCCCCCCATGCCCCTCATTGGATCCTGCGGGGCCCTCACCTCCAAAGCTTTCCAAAGGAGACTTGGGGGTCAAGTGATCTCATCAGGCCTTCCGGGGTCCCTCCATGTGGAAAGCTCTGAGGGGAGGGCAGATGGAGGTATGGACTGGCCAGTGGTGCTCCAGGACAGGGGAAGAGCTGCCTGCCCTCCTGCCCCAGGCCAGCCCTGCCAGCCCGCTTTCGGGTTGCTCAATAGGTATTGACCAAGGCCTGAAGGTCGTGCTGGGCAGAGAGAGGGAGCGAGCGGGCTGTGGTCTGGGGCGTCCTGTCGCTGGGCAGAATCTGGAGACAGACCCCCGAGGGCACCAGGTGGTCAGCGTCCTCTCCTCCTTGAGGCATTTGTCCGGCTGAGGGCAGTGGGGGCAGAGAGGAGGCAGGGAGCCCAGCAGAGGCCCTCAGGGAAGACTTCCCCAAGGAGGCCACCGGCTCATAGTGCCAGCCTGGAATCAGTACAGGGTGTGCCAGGCCCAGGACACAGCCTGGTCAGAGGCATGCCATTTCCAGGGAAATGGTAGCGGGATGCTGGGCTGCAGCTGGGGCAGCAGGGCGCAGAGGCGGGAGGGAGGACCCGTTTGTGGTCGAGGTGGCCCGGGCTAGGGTGAGATCATACACCCCCCGCCTGGCAAAGGGGCTTTCCCATCGTAGCTACCCAGCGCCCTCTCTCGTCCGGACCAGTAAATGCCGACAAAGTGCCCAGACAGGAACCACCTCTCTCTGGTCACTGTTGCTGCCGCAAGGGCCGGAGAGAGCCTGGGGATGGAGACCACGACCAGGCTGCCAGCTCTGTGCACCCAGGGTCCTTCCCCTGCGGGGGCCACTGGACCTCAGAGGGCCCGGTGCTCGTGAGCCTCAATGTCCTGGTTTCTGGACGGAATGCCTTGATGTAGCCCCTCCCGTGGGATGGCTCGGGGGTTAAGCGCTTGGATGCTGACCGAAAAGTAGCCTGTTCAGACCCATCCACCATCCCTGGGCAGACTGAAGGGGCTGTGTTGAGCGAATACCCAATAGAGCTTTATAGGGAAGGCACCGGCCACATTGCTCTCCTGGGAGTGCTTTAACCCCTGCACCACTATGGTTCCTTGGAAACGCTGTGTGGTTGCTAGGGGTCGCTATGAGTCACGATCAGGAGCTTTGCTGGCATCCTGGGCTACGAGTTGGCCTGCTAACCACGGGGTCAGCAGTTCGAAACCACCAGCTGCCCTGCGAGAGAAAAATGAGGCTTTCTGCTGTGTCAAGAGACACAGTCCAGAGGGAGGGGGAAAAAATGAGGAGCTGATACCAAGGGCTCAAGTAGAAAGAAAATGTTTTGAAAATGATGATGGCAACAAATGTACAAATGTGCTTGACACAATGGCTATCTATGTATGGATTGTGATAAGAGTTGGAGGAGCCCCAATAAAATGATTTTAAAAAGAGAGAGATACAGTCTTGGAAACCCGCCCCCTCCAGGACTGAGTATGAGTGGAAATTGACTTGCTGGCAGCACCAGTGAGCGTGCCATTGCCGGGTGAAACCCAATACTTCCCACTGCCACCGGGCCCCAAACCTGAGAGTCCCTAACCCCACGGCCACTGAGTTGACTTCGACTCAGAGTGACCCTACATAGCGTTTCCAAGGGTGTCTAACTTTACAAGAGCACACAGCCTCTCTTTCTCCTGAGCAGCAGCTCGTGGGGTTTGAACTACTGAGCTTGCGATTAGCAGGCCAATACTTACCTGACATTACCACCAGGGATCCACTAAAAAAAAAAATCTACAAACTCACTGACATCGAGTCGATTCCAATTCAGAGCGACACTACAGGACAGGGTTTCCGAGACGGTAATTCTTCAGGGAAGTAGGAAGCCTCATCTCTCTCCCTCAGAGTGACTACTGGTTTTGAACTGCCGACCTTGTGGTTAGCAGTCCAACATGTAACCTCACTACCCGACACTCCAGGAGCAGGCAGCCTTGTCTTTCTCCTGGGGGCAGCTGGTAGGCAATGCCAGTCAGCGGTTGGCATTTTTGGGTGAGAGAGAAAGTTGGTTCTGGCCCAAAGAACATGTTGACAGGTGGGTGGAAGGGGTTTTGGCCACAGTTTCAAAAAAAAAAAAAATCTGTCTTCAGCGCCTGAGATTCCCAAACTTCCTGAGCCAGGGAAGCGACACCCCCCCCCACGGGGGGAGGGGGGGGTGTTGCTGTAAATGTTGGCTCCCCTCCTTCAGACTTTGACCAGGCAGGTCTGGGTGGGACCTGCTCCGGGACTTACAGCAAAGGCCCCAGGGCCTGAGCCCGAGACCAGACAGGTGTGGGGTACATTCCTCTCTGATGACAGCAAGGATTCACTCCGAACATTTCCTCCTCAGAAATGATTCCTTTAAAGTGCCTCTTTACAAGGAAGGGTGGGGTGGAGATGGGGGAAGCCTTCTTACTGAGCATGTGCAGCGGAACTTCCGAGACAGGAGCCTGTGCCAGGGAAGGTATTAGTGCTGTTCCCACTTTACTGCCTGGGATACGGAGGCGTACATTAGCTGGACATGCCAAGGGCACAAAGGCTCCGTGTCTTCTTTAAGGCGTCACCTGGGATTTGGACTTGAGCATGGGTGCTCAACCTGCCTCAGTAACACGACCCCCCTCCCCATAAAATGACTCCCGGCTTTCTGAGGTTGCAGCCGAGAATCCACACGTGTCCTTCGGTGCCCCTCTGAAGGTTGTGACCCCCACTCAAGACACGGCCCTCAGGCCAGACCGATGGCCATGTGTCCATCCCCTCTCACAGAGACCCCGTGGGGCAAGGTAGGGCTGCCACGACTGTGTGGGTCTTTAGGGAAACAGGAGCCCCAGCTTTCTGCATGTGGGTTCAACTGATGGCCTTTTGTTACCAGCGCTGAACCCGGGCACCACCAGGGCGCCAAGAACTAACGGTCAGTCCCTCTCCAGTTCCACAGGGAAACGGAAGACCGCCCTTCCGCTTCCTGGGGCCTCCTTCCTTGCTATGCAGCGGTCTCCCCCACTCCCCCATTCCCCCAGCCTCAGCATCCCTCTCTCTGAAACGGGGAGATGGCACCTCTGGGGTGTCCTCCTGGAGTCATCAGAGACCAGGCAGGGGGAGGGAGGCTGTACACCATTTAGGCTGTGGGATCCTGAGCAACCTTGGGTGGTGGGCTTCGGGGAGGGGGCAGCGCAGGATTTGCTGATGTTCACCTGCCCTTCGGCTAGCCCCTTTCCCAGAGGTTGGGGCTAGCAAGAAGAGGGGTGGGGGCTGTCGTTGGGAGCCTGGTACCCCAACTCGTCCTGGCTGGTGGCTTGAAATGATTCACTGACTTTAAGCCCTAGTTTCATCTGTAATCAGGAAATGGGCCACTGGAGAGCCTGGGGCACTTTCTGGTGAGCCCTGCCCTCCCGGAATCCTTCAGGGGGGCGGGGCAGAGGAGGATGTGTGTGTGTGTGTGTGTGTTTGGGGTGGGGCAGCCGGAACAGAGAACCTGCAGAGAAGGTCCATAGTTTACTCTTTGCTTCGGGGAGGCTGGGAAGTCTTGGGATCTGACTCCCAGGAAAACACTGACACCTTCGCTCTCCTTCACAGAGCCCTCCCTGAGCTACTTTCCAGCACCTGGAGAAGTAAGAAGCTAGGGGCTTGGTCAGGGCGTGCGAGATCACTGTGTAACTAAGGTGAGCTCAGCATGGCTGGTTGGAGTTCAAGTCAGTGGATGTTCCGACAGCTTGGTTCAGAGGCTTGGGGGCCTACAAGGGCTGTTATCAGGAGAGACTGCTCACAGCTGTGACCCTTCCCTGAGAAGGACATCATGCGTGGGAACGTGGAAGGGCAGGGAAAAAGAGGAAGACCCTTGACGAGATGGACTTGCACAGTGGCTGCGGCCGTGGGCTCAAACCTAAGAACAGTTGTGTGGATGGCCCCGGATGGGGCAGGTATCCTTCGGTTTGCATAGCTCGAGTCACTGTGAGTCCTTTCAAGGGCATGAACCAGTTCAATGGCACCTAACAGCGGTGAGGGTGACCAGGACCAACCAGTGGTGCCTTCTGTTATCTGCAGGGTCGCCGTGGGTCCAAGCTGACTCCGTGACACTGGGTCCCACAGTCACCAGGAGGCAAGGCCATGCGGTTGGGCTCCCATCCCTCTGTCCCTTCTGGATGGGGCTTCTTTCCGGACCACACAGTTGCCCATTTGTGAACTGGAGAGACTTCGGGATGGGCCCTATCTCTTGAAGTTGTCATGAGAATTCAAAGTTTAACCTGTCACCGGCTGGGCTGCGCACAGTGCCTGCATGTAGTCAGCCTCATGACACCGTTAGCTGTTGTCACTGCTGTGTCAGGGATTGGGCAGGCAGGGGGTGGGTGGGGTGGGGGAGAGGAATGAGCATCTGGGTGAAGGGCACTGACTGTGTGCTGGAATCCACAGGGAGAGAGGACGGGGAGGGCGGAAAGGCATTCTCCTCACTGCAGCAGGGAGTCACAGGAGGCTTTAGACAGTAGGAGCACCATGGTAGGTCTGAGTGCCCAGGCTGCAGACTGGCAGTGGACTGGAGGGCTGGACACGGGCATGAAGGTCAGTAAGGCACAAGGTCCTGGGGAGGGGTGGGGAGGCCTGCGCTTGGGGACTAGTAGCTGTGGGGATGGAGAGTTGGGGTGAGGACCTATGGGGGCGGGGAGGCATGCAGCTGAACTGGCAGGGACAACAAACATGCGGGCCTCAGATTCTGAATAGACTAATGTACTTAGAAGGAGAGAATGTCCGAGGGTCTTGAAGGGTGTGAAGGAGTTCTCTGGGGAGACCTCTGAGGGATGGGCAGCCCAGAGAGGGCCCACCACAGGCAAAAGCATGGGTGTTCAGAAAGCTGGGGGTAGGGCGGGGGGTGGAGTTAGGGTTCAGGAGGGAAACGGTGGGTTCAGCAGTTAGGGGGTCTCGATACCATCCTGGAGCCTGTGGGAGCAGAGGGTCAGCAGGCTGAGCAGCGGGAAGAGGATTTGGACATTCCAGGATGGAATTCTATTCCTTATGGAAGACACTTCCCGCTTTCCCCTGGTAACTCAGGGCTCCCTCCCAGACTGGTCACCTGCCTTGCTGGACCTGTAGGGAGAGGGCGCCA